TCCTGGCCGTGCCCTACCTGCAACACCAGCACCCTCCTGCTCTGCCCAGGCACCCGCTTCCCCGGCCCTGTGATTCGTCACTGGCTGCAACCACAGGAGATAAACCAGGACTGCTTTTATTTCGCTTGGGCACGGGCAGTGTGCTGGCTGGGAGCTGTAACACATTCATCTGTCACTGTGCATAACTCAATTAATAGTACAATCAGAAAACACCATTACTCTGGAGACAGAAAACCCTCCCAAAGCCCTCAAAAAGCCCTCTTCCTCTTCATCCCCAGAGATGGAATAAAGGCAAAGAAAACAAGCCAGAGAGAAGCGAGCAAAGGACACGCTCAGTGTGATAACCAGTTCCAGCATGTCACCTAATCTGAATTGGCTTATTAATAAATGCCAGGGTTGATGGAGCCTTCCCGTTTTGCTTTCATTTCTCCTTCAGAGCTGAAATATTCAGCATTTTTCCCCTACAATGACTTTGCATGATTCAGGAGTGGTTTCTGTACCAACAAGCCCAAGCTTGAGCTCTGCAACACTCTTCTCTGTTTGTGAACTACCCCTCGTCTACAGCAGTACCTGGACACTTCCCTAATAACAGGGCATTTCTACAATTTGATTCTACTTTTTCAGTGCTGGATCAGAAGATGAGGAGAGGAACAAGCAACTTAACACTATAAACGCATTTCCCATTGCATCGTCCCCAGAAAGCTGCTTACACACCAGGGAATTTGGGGAAAACCATCCTCCCCTGCTGCCAAAGAGCCATGGCTGGTGCCGCCACACTGCTCACACCTTCTTCAGGTCCTCAGGGCCAAAGGAGAGTGGCAGCAGCTCCTCCAGCCTCTTGACAATATAGCTGCCGTCTGCTTTGGTCAGGTAGACATCCCAATCCGTGCCGAACTGGAAGGAAGAGAGGGGAGAAGTGCCTGTGCAAAACCTCCATTTCTTCCTCAAATTACCCAAACAGTCACAGAATCATACAATGGGTTGGAAGGGACCTTAAAGTTCCTCCAGTTCCAATCCCCTCCCACGGGCAGGGACACCTTCCACTAGGGCAGGTTGCTCAAGGCCCCTTTTTGGACACATCCACAGGGAGCATCCTCCCTCTATTGCATGTTTTGGGTCAGCTTTTCAGCATCACTTTCCGCAGCGGGTATTTTGGGCTCACATCCTGTGGGTCTGCCCTCCTCAGGGTGAGCCCTGATGTCTCCAGACCTGCTGAATCTGATCTTCAATCCAAGCCCTGCCACCCATTAAATATTAACCACCCCAAAAGACACTGCAGGGGCCGGGGTGCCCGCGGGGAGGAGGGATGTGAGAGTGGGATGGGCTCCACTTGGAGCTTGGCTTTTGCAGGAATACACCCATTCTCAGGCTCACCAGAGTCGTGGCAGCAGCTCCAGAGCCAAACTCTGCACGTGGAGCTTCCAGCATGAATAAACCCCCTGGGGAGGATGGGTTAATGGATTACCCTGGGCACCCGCTCCCAAGGGACAGAGAGGAAAACCCTTTTCCCAGCAGAACGTGCAGTTTGAGGAGCCTGGGGCTCAGGACAGGGGGTTGCAACTCCCGTTTGCACCTCGGGGTGGTTTAGGGGGAGATTCATGGGGTGAGGGGATGAGACACAGAACCCCCACACAAGCTGTCACCTCTCTCATCACTTGTCTGCAGGCACCGCAGGGTACAATGAAGGTGTCCCCCATGTCACTGCAAATGAGAAGGGCACAGAGCTCAGTCTTACAGAGGTACTGGAGGAACACTTGCAGAAGACCTTCCTCCAGCAACAAATATGGAGCCACAGCATATTTCCCCATAATTCCTCTAAAATAACTGTGCAAAACCCTATACCCGCCCAGCAAAACACTCGGGTTGCTGCAGCAGAAGCTGCCCCCGGGTGCATGGAAGGCTTTCCCATTCCCCCCCATTCCCATCCCTCGCTGTGCCCTTACCTGGTGATGGCCATGGCCCTGAAGCTGGTGTGCCCCTCGGAGATGGCTTTCTGGATGGCGGTGCGCTCGGCGCACACCCCAAGGCTGTAGCAGGCGTTCTCCACATTGCACCCTGTGGGGAAGCCCCCAGCACCCACTCAGCCACCCCAAAACCCTCCAAGCATCCCTCCAAGTGAGCTGTTTCAGAGAAGTTACAGAAAAACCCCATTTTCAATGCACAGCACCCCATCCTAGGCTGTGCCCAACACATTCCCCTCTTTTCCCATCCACCCCTGTCTTTGGCTTGCTCTGGGATTGTGGCTGCCAAGAGGCAGCTTGGGGAGGAGACCAGCACTTTGCACCAACCCCTCTACACCCCATGCATGGCCAAAGGGACCACAAAACGCAAGGAGGGGGGTCATACAGCCTCAGCTTACCGGAGAAGATCTCCCCACTGGCTGTGAGCAGCGCGGCACCCACCGGGAACCGGCTGTAGGGGCAATAGGCGCAGTTCTTGGCCTCCCGGCTGCGGCGCAGCAGGAGCTGTAGGTGCTCCTCTGGGGGAGCAGCAGGGGCTGGGTGCTGCCTGTCACCCTCCATTCCTGCACCCGCCTGCCCTGCCCGCTGACGCTGTGGTTAAATATTTCCTCGCCTGGAAAATAGGCTGGGCAGCGCTGCTGGGATAACGCCCAGGCAGTGAACCGCGGGAAGCATCCCTAGGGCCAGCCCTGACCCCCCAGGCATCACGCTCAGGGTGTCCCATGTCCCCTCCCCATCTGCTGCCTCATGTTTTCCACTTTGTCCATTTTGTACCTCCTCCTTTCTCCATCCCAGCAGAGTGTTTTCCCACCGCCGCCGCCTCGATGCATTGTTTTCCTTCCTTCCCAGTTGAAAACTGGTTGTGCTGCTTCACAGTGAAAATGTCATTTAATCACTCCGGGGGGGGGGGGGGAACAACACGGGTGGGAGAAACAACAGGTCCTGATCAGTGAGATCAAAAGAAATACATGAATTTTATTGAAAACAGAGGGAATGATATAGATACAATATATACACACCACATTTTCCCACTTCTTTTAACTACCGCTGCCAGGCAGCAGGGAAAGCTGGCTGAAGGTAGAGCTGATAAAACCCGTTTGGGCGTTTGGGGATACCCTCAACCCCATGGGACATGGTGCTTCCATGGGAATCAGCCCACGTGGGGTAAAGCGCTCCCAGGATGCTGGGCTGATCAGCAAATTGCTCTTTAATTAAAGACATCTCTTCTTTAAGGAGGTGCTGGAGGAGCTTCTTGCCCCATCTTCTGGCTGCACAAACGGGTGTCCCAGCCCCCACTGATTTATTACTGGGGTTTTGTCGTTTGCTGGGTTTTGGGAGGATTTTGAGCTTACCCACTGGTTTTGGGAGCAAATCTTGGTGCTGGCTTGCTGCTGACAAGCCACGACAAGCTGGGACATGGAACCAAATTGGCAGCAGTCTCTGGTGTGGTTTAAGTGCCTTGAGCTGAGAGTGGAGTGTGGGGCAGGGAGGGGACCACAGGAACCACAAGAAATCAAATCCAGGATGCTGAGATCAGTATTGTCCCGTAGGATAATGTTATAGCCATCTTCTGCACACTGTTCACCCTGTAACCTAATGACAACAGTTAGCTACTTGCAAGAGCAGTCACTCAAGGCAGCAGTCAGCTACGAGAGGGATTAGCAACCTGAATCAGCTCAGAGCCTTATTTCCAGCTTTCCAAGTGCAAATCCTGGTTGTTTCCCCAACTGAAACGAGCCACAGATGCTCCTGTGCCCCATTACATGGTGTGATGCCTCCAAAACCCAGGAGAGAAAAGGAAACCCAGCCTAAACTGGACTAAAACCGCTGTTTTACCCGTTTCTCCTCCCCATTTTTCAATCCCAAGGCAGCTGGAGCATCTTTGTGGGTCCCCAAGCCCAGGGGTCTCCCTGCTGCAAGAAGCCTCATGGGTGGACAGGTGGAAAACGGGGTTTGAGGTGAAAGAGCTGAACCCTGAAGAGCCTCAGGCTCTGCTGTGGGGTTGAAATCTCACAGGTACCCACGCAGAACTGCCCCAAAATCCCCCTCCCCACCCCCCCTCCCCCG